TAAGGAACCCTCCAGATTAGGGAAAGTAGATGGGGAAAGAGAGAAAAAAAAAAAAACCTGTATCCAAAGGCAAGAAATGTTCTGAAGGCATAGCTTTTTCAAAGAAACATCACTTTTATTGCAGAATTTTATTACAGAATTGCTCTAGCAACAAATCATCTTGGACAAAGGGAGGCCTTTAACTCTCTTTAGAATTAGGCAGACCTTTTTTTTCAGGGGATATAGAAAAATAAAAATGGCCATACTCATGCATGATGGGGGATGTCTGGGAAGAAAATCAAAATCCACTGTTGGGCAATAGCCTCTCTTTGGAGCAACAAGAGTGTACATTCTCTCAGATTTTCCAGAACTCTTAATCCTGTATTGCAAAAGCAGGGAATAAGGAAGACAAACAATCTGAAAATAGATATTGCAGCCTAAATTATCCACCAGTTGTTGCAAAAGTCTCAGTAGGGGGGCATCAGCAAGAAATCACTGGGCTGCAGGTTAGATAGCGAAGTTGAAAAACATTGTGGAAAAAGATAATGGCAAACCACTTCTGTATTGTTGACAAGAAAATTTTGTGGGAGCAATGCAGTCAAGAGCTGAGCTGAGCTATCTTGTAACAGGCAGCAGATGACACCTTACCTACAATGGGATAAAGAAGCCATTTCTGAAAACTAAAATCAGGCAGGACCTTAGAGCTGCCTCTTGCCTTGGGTTAAATGCATATCCTTCAGGCTAGTCAAGAGAATAAAAGATGACAATCTTGAATGAGGCATTAATTTGAGGTACTGTATTGCGCTAAGATAAAGCCACTGACTTCAAATCTGATGACTACAATAGTTAGCTTAATCTGGGGGCTTTTCTGCTATTACCCCAAGTGATGCAAAGAGAGGTCTGGAGAACTCAAAAAATCATACCCTGGTTCATTGAAGCCATTCTTCAGTTATGGTTATCTGTAGATTATTCCCCTCTAAAGAAGGGCTTTTGGGAGTCATGCAGGTATATGTCAGCCCAGGAGATTGAAGTACCCATACTTTATATGTTCTTTAAACAACACTTGAATATCGCTACTGTCACCCGCTGCACGTTCAACTCTCCCCACAGGAGTAGCGCTGACCCCGATTGGCCTTAGCAGTGATGCTGAACTGATGCCCAGACTCCCTACCTAATTTTGTATAGGCTTTTGCTATCCAGAAAGCGCTCTCATCTAAATGCTTTAAGTCCTGATTCTCATAAACTTAGTCTGGATTCTCATAGGATTCTCATTCTTCAAGAGCACCTCTGTGCAGAGTTCACATGTTTAGCAGAAAAATTTAGGCTCGCTCTTCTTGATCCTGCCCCACTGTGGTTTAGGAAATAAACAGTGGTTAAGCCAACCATGGCTTAGGACAAGGAGTGGATTGGGGCAGTATCAAGTCTTAAACTGGAGAAGACTTGAAAGGGAGCTTGAGGATTATCTAGCTCATCTCCTGTAGTTTGAGATCCACCTTAAGCATCCCTGGCAGGCACATAGCCATTAGTCTCTGCTTAAATCAGTGTTGTCCAAACTTGGCCACTTTGAGTGGACTTCAACTCCCAGAATTCCCCAGCCAGCATGGGGAATTCTG